ATGGCAAAAACACGCAATACATTCACCCTGGGAGGAAAAAAGTAGAAGATTATAGTCAAGGTTTTGAAACTTCATGAGGAAGGACACATACGAATGTTTCCCTCGACGATCATGATAGACCTACTTCCCGTGAATTTCCAACAACCTAAAACAATGGATATAATGCAACCAAAAAGTATTGAATATATACGAGGTGGCAAGGATTCATTCAATCTTGTGGAAATATTAAATGATTTTGAATGCGCATACTCATTCAGCATCGCCCACAGATACAAAAGCATACGGATTTTAATCAAGTCACCTTACCCAACATTCATAAGTGCGTTATGTAATAGGGTAAGAACAACCGGAGTTAGTTCGGAAAAAATAACAGATACAACTAGAAAGCAAACAACTGTGACACACCTTCCATCGAAAGATAATTACGGCATAACTTTTTTCGTATTATTTTGCCTTCGCTCAGTCAATTTATTAGTATTACGTCAGATTAATGGTTCGTACGAGATAAACCGGAAGTTACTTCAGCCAAATTCTAAAGGGATTAAAACTGACACGAAAACCTTCGACCAGAACACCATCAGGTGTTTCGAACTGAACCAGTACTGGTGTGCCAGATCGACTCAACAATTTGACCAGTGTCGAAAATCCGGTTCATCTGGAATCTAGCCCACATCCTGTGAATGCGACAGGTATAAGTTGTTATATCACACAACACTGTCGGTGACAGTAATTTTAATGAACTAAAAACGTCAGAAGAAGCTTGCCATGAATGAATGCAAGGAACTGAAACCGCATCACGTGGAAAAAGATAATGAAGTGTTAAAATGATCGTAAAGACGTCTGGTCAGCTCTATAGCATATTTGTAACTGGAAATAATATTAAATAAACAGAAACGAAAAAGACTACTTAACCATTAGTGTAGAAATATTTGATGATGATTCATGATGTTCTAAATTGTAATATAATTGTACAAAAAGGTTGTAATGATAATAGAAAAATACTAGTGCTAAACACGTCCTTTCTAGGTTCACTAACAATGAATTGAACAACATTCAATATGTTTTCCCAACATACGTTATTTTCACTCTAAATTACTATTTCTCTCTTTCAATACGTTCTTAGAAAATCCAACAGAGATTGCGGTTCGATGGCATAATCTTTAAAAAATAGGACTGTTGTTCTCCAAGTTTTCGGTTTCAAACCCGGCCGAAACCGTAAATTTTTACGGGCGAAAAAATCCTTCGTACGTCTTCCACGGGAGGGGAAGTAAAGTCGGCTATTCAATGTTGTAGAGTTACTGCATATAAAAGATTCTCATGCCAAAAGGAAGCATCTCAACTAAATTCAAATCTCCTGTATCTTCGCCCTTCAGTGATACCTTCTTTCTCCGCTACACGGTGATGGATCTTCCGCGTAACAAAATTTGCGTGGCCAGACGGAAGAGCGAGCCTAAAGGCCCGTGTCTCGCCATGTACAATAAGGCATTAACTAACTAAAAACTGTAGTTAAAACACATTTTCAAACAAAATTTCAGTAGGCTGTCTAATCTCACTAAACATGTACGCTAATTGCGAATTCAAAAGCAAATTCATGGTTTGTGGATAGGATACCGCTCCGTCGCGCTTCGATGTCTCTGCGATTACGACACGCCGTTTTCCCAAAGACGGAGCTTGCTATGCAGAACGATATGCAGTCTGCGATAAATTCAAACAGGTTGCATGCCTTTCTCTCTGCCTGACGACACGACGTGTTTAGTCTGATCGTCGCCCGTGTGACACGCACCTACATACCAAGACTGTAGGTCCGACGATGCCTTCCTCTCTCTTGGAAACGTTTCAAATTGTATATGTGTGATACGACAAGCTACATACTTGTACATCCGTAAGATTTTCTGCTTGGTTTAAAAGTAATATCGAAAATCTACTTTATTTCATTAAAAAATATTTGTAAATACTCTAACTGCGAGTCGATCAAGAGAAATTTGAGACAAATCTGGGTCATCAAAATACATAACTATAAATAATTCACTATTTTTGTGTCTTTAATTTTGAGTAACTCTTTTAGAAAACGTTTGGGTAGACGTTGAACCTCAAAACTTCAAATATATTTTTATGAGAGGAAAAAAATATCAGCTTTCTTGTAAATAAACACGGTAACCCAAACAGAAACGCTTTCGAGAGACAAGTAAATGTGTTGGTTTCAGTGACACACCTAAAAATAACAACCAGCCTACTAATAGCTTTAAATTGAACTATGTGACTATCATACTGCATTGCCAAAGAAAGTAAATGATCGTATCACAAAAAGCCTTCCTATTTTGAAACTTACGCCCGAAGCCTTCATTCAGTCCCTCGAGGACGGACAACTAACTAAGCAGACTTCGTGAATGAGCGCGTCGCCGGATCGGCTCGGCCGCGCCACTGCGTGCGCCTCAGGAGGCGAGGCGGGCGGCCAAGTCCCGCGGTGGGCGCGGCCGAGGCCGCCTCCACGTTCTTCCGGGAGGTGCGCCGCCGCCGCCGCCGCCGCCGCGACCTTGGCCGTCGCTCGAGCGCCGCGCTGGCTCTGGCGGCGATCGGGGGCAGTGGCGCGAGCTCGTTCCACTTGCGCGACCCGGATGGCGGCGGCGGCGCGGCGGAGGCGGCGATGTGGGCCGGAGGAGCCCCACGGAGGAGGCAGCGGCCGAAGTGCGACCCGCCGTCGCCGACGACGCGCCGCGCCGCGTCGCGTCTCTACAGGGCGCGGCAAATCGCAAGAGAGCGGTGGAGGGAGTGTGGGGAAAGGCGGAAAATCCTCAGCACACTTTCTGACCTGGCGGGCGGGGGGGGCGGTGGTGGAGGCGTAGGTGATGACGATGGCGGCCAGCGATGGCACGCCCAATGGCTCCCTACGAAAGCCGCGACGGGTTCGCTGCTCCGTGCGTTGCTCGCCGAAGTCTGAATGACCGACACACACACACTTGCATACCAAACCATGTTGAGAATTCCTTGAAGTCAATGACCTCACCGACACGGGAATTTTTGAACGGTCGTGATATCACGCACTTAAATAGTATCTTTATGAGAAATTATGATTGGTGGGTTCTTACAACACTGCACAATCTGCTCACCGTTGTTACAGCGTCGACGAAAGACCTTTAAACGCAAAATAATCTATGCTCAGGAATTCAAAAACACATAATAATTTCACATGACTTGCAATTTTCTCCTTCGCTAACGGATTTCTTACCTTAAAACTATAATGAAGAGCGAGTGTCAATGTTACATCTACAGCCATTGTGGACGAAACTTCCAATGATTCGCTGGAAAAGAAACAACAATTAGTAGAGCTTTATTCAAAACAGATCGGTTGGAATGTTACTCTTTATCTACATAAAAATAATGCACAAGAAATGAGAGAATCTTACAGAAAAATACCGCCTCTGAGCTTCCGGATCTCATTAGCTCTGCAGTGAGAAAAAGACCGACACGGAAAGTCGAAGTAGGCCAAAGCTCCACCAGCCGCCGTATTCGGAAACTGCGACACTTCTCAAATGAATGGGTTCAGTACTTTCTCCTTGAAAGGAACCTAGGAGAAATGCTGCAATTATGAAGTGCAGAAGGTGTTCGCAGATGACGTGGCTTCGAAATGAGATGCGCGCACAAATCGAGAGGCGCTTCTTATGCACCTTCGTTCATTAAACTTTCACGGCCCGGTAATGGGCGCCCGCTGAGAGAAACGTGAACATCGAAGCAGAAGTGTCTTTGGGAAGAAAGACATTTACGGGTGACGACAGAGGGTGAAAGTGGATGTTAAAACAATGGGTTCACGTGTGCATACCCGTGCTGCAGTTTGTTGCAATGTAATGTATTCAATTATGCGTCTTCGGGGGCGCTACTAACCTGTTGCACTCTGTTTATCTTCCTTTTATAAGAAGAAAATAAACCATTCATATGGTGAGATTTTAGGCTTTATACCTTTTTCCTGTCACTTTTCAAGCTGCAGTTGTTTTCATGCCACCGTTTCGCACTGGTTAGCACTACCAGTTGCATTTTCTCTCTCGTTCTTGCTGCTATAAAACGCCTGCATCTGAGTAGTTGTATAATCGACTTCTGAAGAATGTTATGCTTGTTTACCATGAACTTGACCTAGAATCTTTATGTACAATTATTTTGGGACGTGTTTTCCAGTTATAATCTATACTTAACTCTCAATGTCATAAGAGACGAGAAAATCTCACTGATGTACACAAATGTTTTTAAAATCACAAAATCTGAAAGTGTAGACACCATAAAACGTAATCATATAAGAAAGATGTAGGAAAAGTCAATGTTAGCTTTATGCTAATTTTTAATTTTAGTCACAACTGCTCAGTATGAACATGCAATAAAGTAAACGAGTAAGTGTATATAAATGACATTTGCCAGATGTGGTTCACACATTTCGAGTCATCTGACGAAAGAAACCAAAACGTATTAATTTGATTATCTAATGTAATCAAATGGTAAGCTTTATCAAACTATTTCAGCATTGTTTTAACACAGTTATTCTTTGACGTCCACAACAATGCGACACTTTCTCACATATGTCAGGTGTATTGTGCAATAAGTAAATTTCCAAGTGTTTGGAAGATTAATCTGTATTTTGTGGACTTTCTGCAGTGTATATATATATATATATATATATATATATATATATATATATAT